CACACCTTCTGTGTGATGGTGAACTATACACCTTCAAACTGGGAGCCAAATATGCCCTTTCCTTCTTTCTTAGGTTGCTTTTGTCGGGTATTTCATCACAGCACAGCAAAACTAACTACTATATACCAGACTCTTCTAGTTTTTCTGTGCCATGCTGCACAGAGTGATCTTAAACATGTGGGCTCAAGTACTTCCCCTAAGACCCCCAAGTATCTGGAACTAAAGAGACATATAACAGCCCCCAGTCAATCTTATTTCTACTGCATGGTTTGACAAGTCTTACCAGTGTAGCAAACATGGACACCGTCCTTCTGCTCTACTTCTAATGCACTTTCTGTACTGTAGGGCTGGAAAGTTTGTCTCCCAGACCATGCTTATAGACACAACTCTCCATTCAGGGTCTGGAAGTAAGTAAGGTACAGGGCACCAATCTTTTGCTATTGTTCACTCTGCTAAGAAATCGTGTAGTAGAGCTATCTGGGTTTTCCACTAAGCTTTTCTGATGCCTACTCTGGGTAGGCTGAGGAACAGCTGTGGTGGTGATGCCATAGCAGCTTTCTTCCTGTTGTCCCATCTTTGACAGAGGTGGTAGTTACTAGGTAGGTCAATTCTGCCATGCTCAAGAATGCATTCCCAGAGATAAGTCCACCTACCTTAAAAACCAGTAATAGTTTCCAGTTGGGACATAGTGGGACATATCTGCAGTTCCCATACATTGGATGGCTGAAATGGGAGGAACAAGCATGGGCTACCTAGTGAGACCATGTCTCATAAGACAGGACAAATCAAAACCAACAAAAATCTCACCACAACTAAAAAGTGTATATTAAGTGTATTCAAAAGTGGACATTATAGCATAATCCATGCCCATGCCATCTTCATCAGTTACTAACTTATGCCCAAACTGATTGTGGTTTTGAGACAGGATCTCCCTATACAGCCCAGGGTAACTCCACATTCATGATCCTCCTGCCTCTGCCTCTCAAGAGCTAGAATTACAGTGTACATTTGCCTACCACCTTCTCCATTCCCTCACCTCTGCCTGGGGGACCACATCCAAGCCTCTCAAGAGCTAGAATTACAGTGTACATTGGCCTACCACCTTCTCCATTCCCTCACCTCTGCCTGGGGGACCACATCCAATTCATGGTAGGCAAGTGCTCTACTACTGAGCCACAGCACTAGTTCTCCACCCACCACCTATTTTTGAAGCAAATTTCAACTGTATCAATTTTTAGCATGCACTTTTAAAAGTTCAGTGTAATTATGAATCCACTCAGTGTTCACACTGTCAGTCACCTTTTATTGTAATACAATTTGCTTTGTTTTGCAGAGCCAGTACCCAAATATAAGTCCAGAAACTGCAACCAGTTGACACACTTCTGCCTTGACCTCTAAGTCCTCCCTTCATCTGCGTGGTTTCTTTCTGGAACTGGACTTGAAGGGATCATCTTGTTTGCTCCCACTCTGTATTTTGGTGACTGTGACCGATGGTTTGTTAGTTCATATTTCCATCTTCCATAATTCCTATAAATTGCTGAGTACAAAAGCTTCATTAGGCTTCATCCTCCAAGATGAAGGTGAGTTTTCTGAGAACTGCAGTAGCCTCTTGCCAGGTAGCTAACAATGGCATTAGCAGTCAGGGAACACTTTTTAAAAATTATTTTATTTTTTACATACTAATCCCAGTTCCCCCTCTCCCCTCCTCCTGCTCCCCCCACCTTCTCCTCCCCCCACCTTTTGCTCCTCAGCAATGGTAAGGCCTCCCATGGGGAGTCAATGAAGTCTGTCCCATCACCACATGAGACAGGACCAAGGCCCTCCCCCGTGTCTAGGTTGAGCAAGGTATCTTTCCACAGGAAACGGGTTCCAAAAAGTCAGTTCATACACTAGCAATAGATTCTGGTCCTACTGCCAGTGGCCCCACAAAAGTCTGGGAGCACTTACAACTCAGCTCAGAGCTTGAAAGAGGAAAGGAGTTGTGTTGCTTTTTGACTACCATGGGCTATGTGTCTTTAGGCCATTAATCTGAGAAAACCAAAGATTAAAAACTTCTGCTCATGGCCCAGGCAATATTCCTTGCAGCCTTCTGGGGTGGGAAGACAAGAATTTCATTTATTCTTGTCCCTTCAAGGGTGAAGTCCTTAAGGATGCTAGTTTAACAGGGTGTCTTTTATTAGTCCCGTGTTCTGGGCCTTGTCTTCGGTCTCAGTGCCCCAAGCTCAAACTGAGTTGTGATCAGAGGCAGTTTACAAAAGGTGCTTTCACCAGGCTTTGGCATAACCCTAACAACTGCCAACTATCTGATGTTTTTAGTGTTAATACTTTCACTCCAAAGTTGTAGTTTACCCAACTGCCCCAATGCGGCAGTTTAAGTATGTACAAAACATGCATATATCTCAGACAGGTTAGGTTGGTGTAGCAATCCCAGAAACATGATTAGCCTTAAATGCCCTTTAAGGAGCATGTACTGAGAGCCATGTCGCTTATTTCATCTCCTAATGAAGACCACTCAGCTGCAGTCCCCAAAGATCCCCTCATGCTGCGAGCAGGACTTGTTTCCACAGATAAAGGGTATTAATACTTCTCATTTTCTTTAGAGGGCATCCTAAATTTCTCAGATTTTTTAAAAAATGTGGACACTTTATAATGTCATTCCTAATAGAACTTCTCTAGCTAGACCATTAACAGACACACCTAAAGACAAGGTGTTCAAAAGCAAGTCGGTTTCTTAGACATGTTTTCACAGCTTGTTTATAAGACTGTTTATCTGATGCCATGGGAAAGAAAGTATAATCAGTACTATCTTACAATAGCTTATAAATAAGTGGCCACTCCACAGCCTGCAGCTGGCAGGAGACAGACCATGCATTGCTCCATCCCTTATGTAATGAATATGCTTATATTGTGAAACCTCAGTAATATTAAGCAACTAGTGTTTCTTTAGCTATTAAAACTAAATAATTTCTAACAAATGGAAGAGGCTGAGGTTACCATGAGTGCTCTAGAACCTCAGCAAAAGCAAGGCACAAAGTCTGTGAACTCACATAAAGACTAAGATATAGACTTCAAAATGTTTCAACATTTCTTATAGAAAGACATTTAGACAGACATTTTAAGCAGGAGAACTGTTAAGTTCACCCGCCATCTGCCAAGCAGTGTCCTTCAGAACTCCACAGTCCCCTCTTTATAAGCAGCCTCTGAGCTCTCAGAGATAAGAGTTCTGTCTCCTAGCCTGTTCTACTTGTTGCAAATCACATGCATTAAATATTGAGCTTTTGAACATGGATGTAATAACAGGGGAGGCATAAGGTAATATGCAAATGAATTAACTAAGCATTACTATCACAAGAAATAACCTACAGGTCTCACCTAGTGGCTACAACTAAGTTGTCAAACCAAAAGTGATCCTGTAAACACTTAAATTATGAACCACAAATCCATTTCCTCAGCCAAGTTGATTACTAAAATCACTTTAAGCATTTAAAATCAAAACAGGTAACATTATGGGTTTCCATCTTAGTACTCTTTAGTATTTGGAGATTATCAATCACCTGCTAAAGGGATACATGGAGAACTAATTTCTCCATTTTTATACATCAAAGCAAAAATGATAAGGCAGAGACTGCTATTCATCCCTACATCGATTTTCTTTCTTTAAAGACAATGAATGCTCAAAACTTAGCTGAATACAGGCCCATCTGAAATACCTAACTTACCAGCCTTTCTTGTAGGTACATGTAATGACATGACTATGTTCTGGTTAATAAGATGTAAACAGAAATGTCTTAGAGCAGCTTCCAAAAAGGACCTTTCATAGTGCTGGCACTGCCTACCGATACCTTCCTGTCCTTCTCTTACCAAAATGAACTGGTTAGAGGCCTGGGTGTGGCAGGAAACTAAAAGGACCTTAAATCCTCCAAAAAGTTTCATGGAAAAGAGCACACATCAGTCCTGGATCTCTATCTCTGACATCTAATAGCAAGAGAGAAATAAGCCATTGTGTTTTGTTCATAGTACTTGGTGCCCCCCTAAATACTGGCTTTCTTTGGATAAAGGACAAAGGCAACTTTGTAAATGGGAGATTTTTAGACATGCTAACCAGCCACCCCTACCCTTTTGTTTGTTTTAATTATTCTTATTTGAGACAGGGTCTCACCACAGCTCTGTGTGTTCTGGAATGAGCTGTGTAGACCAGGCTAACCTCAAACTCATGGAGATGGGCCAGCCTGTGCTGCTTCCGTGTGCCAGTATTAAAGGTGTGCACCACACCCCCAGATTACTTCTCCCTTTTTAAGGATATATGCAGCTGTTACACACTAAAGAACAGATATCAAGGTTGGAGTTGTACCTCTGCCATTAACTGGAAAGTCACTTAACTTTTCTGGTCCTGTATGTCTCTATCCATTGAATTGGGGTAGCACCTTCTATGTAAGAAGATCTCCTAGAGATCCACAAGGAAATATGTGAAATAATTAGGCAATATAAATCACTATACACATACCAATTGGTGAGAATGTAAGATGCCTGTGGGTGGAAGCTGTCTTGCACTGTATCGTCAGTAACAAGTGCTTAATAAGTATTCGTTGAATAAATATATTTGATAACTGATAAATTATTCTGCTTTTTTTGAGCCGAATAAAGCTAATGTTAGAGTATTATCTGTGTTCCTAACAGACATAAATAATAATTCCTAATTTTGATGTCAATCAGACGATACAAGGGTGTAAAGAGAGAAGGCTAAGCTGCTTCTCTGGGCCAAAAGGGAGGCCACTTACAAAAGCAACACAAGCTGGCACAGTTGTACAGAAATGGAAACTTTATGACACTGTTCCCAGAGAATCACAAAGATACATGCAAAAATATTCTTTAATATTTAAGCCACTAAAGCTACCACATCAAATGAAAAATTTCCTCACACTGGACTGTGACTAAAGCATTTTATTAAATTAACTGTGTAATTTGCAAATGGTTTCATAAGAAATTTTAAAAGCAAAGTTATAAACATTTTCAATAAAAAAGTATAGACTTGACAGCAAAAATCACATTTTTATAGTACAAATAAAAACAGTTGCTTCTAATACTGTCTGAGCAGCTTATAGTCTATTCTTCAACTGCTAGCTGCAATGTGGCACATTAATGAGACACGTGGGGTAAACTCAACAATAACAACAGGTTCGTCACGAAGTCAACTGCTTGACTGTGAAGGACACAATGAAGGAACTTCGTCATCACCTAACTGAGGTCATGAGGTGTTAGGACACAGATGTTCTGGCCTTGCTTCTCTATTCCCTTCTGTAAAGAGGCATCAAGTAATACTGTAAACGTAAATTACACCTTAAAAATAAGCACCATTAACATACATTCTACATCGACTTACTTTCCTTTTAAATGGCACTTGGTTTTGGCCACACAGACATTTAGATCTGTTTTCTTTACAAGTAATTAAGAATAAGCAACATTTAGCACGGCACAGAGCATTATCAAACGTCACCTCATTGCACAACAGAAAAGCACTCAGAAAAAACAGCACACATTATTTTTGTCCATTCCATACATTTTCTTGAGAGCAGTTAAAACATTGTCAGAGCAATTTCTTGAGTTTCAAAAGTTTCCGATTGCCAGCTCAGAAATAACTTTGTCATTACACATGTCCTTCTAAAGTGAACAGAACACTTGAATTTAAAGAGAAAAAGACTAAAACAAAGGACAGGAAACCACCCAGAGGAACTGGAAGCTTTTCTTTTCCATATATGTTAGAATACAAATGATATCAGCTCCAGTTTCCACTCTATAATATGGATGATACTTAAAAACAACTAATAAACAGAAGAAAACCTCAACTCGTAAGTAACAGCAATATATGAACAGGTAATGAATGTAGAGAACATGCTCAAATGGCCTCACAGGAACCAGGAAACAGATTGAAAACGGTCATGAGAGCCCTGGCCCCGCTGCTCTCTCACTGTGGTGTCCCTATCAATTCTCTTTCTTCACTGGGTTGATACCAATGATAGACTATTAAGATGTATGTAACTGCTACTGAAATCTTTCTTTCTTTTCTTTCTTTCTTTTTTTTTTTTTTTAAGAAATGCTATACTTTTAAAATGCTTTAAAATACTAGGTTTACAGAGTTCTAACCTGGGTCACTTCTAAACCATCTTTACCTCTGATATACAAAATGAAGAAGTGGGCAGAAGAAAATCTGATAATCCCCAAAGTCTTTCTACCTCTGGCTGGGACATGAGATTTGGAGATTGGCAAAAGAAAGATCAGAGGACATTCTTTCATAATTGTATCTGCTTAAACATACCAGAAAGGAGGTGGGGAGGAATCTGGGCACTACAAATATATATAATGTTCAAACTCTGTATATTTATAGACCGCAATTGAGGAATATGAAGCCAAACACGGCAAAGCACACCTATAATCTCAACATTAAGGAGTGTAAGGCAGAAGGATTCTGAGTTTGTGGTTGACTTCAAGGTCTGTACTAGGTTACTATGAGACTTCTCAGACTCAGGCTGGGCACAGCATCAGAACAACTGCTTTCCCTTGGCCTCCAACCACAGAGAGCCACACTTGTACTTCTTCTCATTGCTCCCTTATTAATTATAACCACAGTAAGATAGTAAGTCTATCTGGAGTACTCAAATGTGACTTTTTAAAAAAGGGTGAAAAAAATATAAAACACAGAAAATGAGTATGCAGCTGCACACACTCCAATTATTCTAGGTTTAATACTGTTCCTTATTGTTTAAATCGTATTAACTTGAGAACAGAAATTAGCTTACTTTATTAACTACTGATTATGGTTTTTGTACTAACTTGTAAAAGGAACTTCTGAGCATTACCAAAAACAGTGTGATACACTACTGCAATTTTTAAAACAAATTATTACAAGTCTAAAAATATAAATACTTGAATATCAGTAATCACTAACCATTTGTAGGTAATAAACATAGATTTTTGTTTTTATGGAAATAAAATTCAATGGTAAGTCTCTTCTTTTAAAAGCATGATTCACAAGATGTAAGAACGTGGTTTTGAGTTTTATTCACATTTCCAAGTCTGCTCTCTGGGAGCTCATTCTGTCAGGGCAATGCCACATTCTTGATGAAGGTGATTTTGTAAGCTAAATAAAAAGCAACATAATTGTTTGCAAACACTGTATATGTTGAAAATACTCTGTATATCCAAAGTTAAATTTATTTTAACTACTGTCTCATAGAAAAATTACACTTCACCATACAAGTCTGTATAAAGGAAATGAGAATTTACATACTAACAGGACACTAGCCCAATAAGTCAATGAGACTTTTCTTTCAGAAAGTTGGCTCCTTTTCAAAATAAAGTAAAAAATCTTCCTAATTACAAGGGTTTCTTTACAATTATACCAAAAAATGTTTTCACACTTAAGTCAATAGGATTTTTGACTTAGAATAGCTTAGAAATGATGTCTCAAGTATAAACCAGCCATTTAGCACTGTCTGGAGCCACTAACAGCCAGCTCCACAAGCAGTCCCATAAGGATTTCTCCTTCTCTGAAATGTCTACTATTTGAGGAAGCTATGAGACTGCAAGTCAGTCTCAGACCCAGCTTTCCTCCCAGAAAATGCACGGCTCAGAACAGCCCAGAAGGGAAAGAATCAAGATCAGAGTCACGGAAAGAACAACCGAGTGTGCGCCCATCTGCACACTACTACAAAGTCAAGCTACTCTGTGATAGGCTTCGAAAGCACAGTACCTTCGAAAGCCAGGAACCCGGTTTCAAAGCACACTGCCCCTCACACACGTCTACAGGACTTTTCTAAATGTGAAACGGTTAATACAAAGGCAGCAATTTTGTTGTTGTTTTGGGGTTTTTCCCTAAGAATGAACTAGAGAACTTAAGACTTTTAAACTGCAGGTGGTAATTTTTTTTAGAGATTTTTGCAATGAATAAAAATTCTTTTTAATGTTTTAATAAGTAATAGATTGGCATTTGATCCAGAAAAAAATTTCCTTGAATACAGAAAAAATTTTTCTTGTTTTATATTTCTAATAAAACACATTTGAGAGTAGAATTGACTGAATTACTGCAGATAAAACCAATTTCAGCCTATAAACCTTCTTGCCTCTCAGTCAAAGGCTTATAAATTTTACTTTAGCATGACTTTCAAGCACCCAGGCTTAATTTCAGAGAACCTGTGGAAATGAGAAAAGAGTTATTTAAAATGTAAATATTTCAAACTACTTAAGACAGATCTTATAATCAATTTAAATGACTTATACTTCATATTTATTACTAACACTGCAGCCTTTATTAACGTCCAGGACCACTATCTATGTTTGCAATCCCCCTGATTTATTGTCAAAGCAAATACAATCCCAAAGCTGTGGGCTATCTCTAGATTACTAGTCAATATAACATAAGATTTTTCAAAACTTCTCAATCTGATCTTCATGAAGAAGAGCCTGCTGTATGAAAGATAAGGTTGTGTATGACATTGTTCCTGTGCATCAAGAATGCACCAAGGAGAAACTTCTGACCATGCAAGGCTTTCAACTGTCCCGTGTCGATTTCAATGGGCACACCAGGAGCTAAATGGCTTGTTAACATGACACAGCTCTATTCTAACCAACCCAATTGAAAAACTAGCCCTAGGAGGCTTCTAACTTTCATCAAGTAATATCCCATTGCATGGCATACACAAAAGTCTTACACTAACTGAAACTGGAAGTCTGGAAGGAAGTGGAGAGAGACTTAAGGATTGATACTTTCAGAGAATCTATTCAGCAACAAAGCTTTATATTTGGAATTTTCCTTGTCAGTTTCTAGTACTGACTACAGTGGAAAAGGACACTTCAATATGCCAATAAAATCATTAATGCATTTAACTTATGTGGACATATAATTCATTTAGAACTTCAGCTAAAGTTTAAACACATTCAATGTGTAACCATTTCAACCAAAGTCCCACAAATACACTCTGTCTTTCAAAATGAGCAAGTCTTAAGACTATCGTGTATCTAGTTCTTCGGAATACCACACTAAGAAGGAATGCAAGGAGATTTCATTTTTATAATTTTAAATTTACGATAGAAAGTCTTAACAGATGACCACTAACAAAAGCCATATTTTCCTTTGAATTCCCATTTACCAGACAATATAAATCTAGCAAGAAAAGCTACCCACAATTAAACCATCAATTTGTGAATGAAATCAGAGAGCTGGGCTGAAGTAGCTATCTTTATAGCTTTGAACATACGACAGTAGAAGTCTGCACTCACCTGAAGCTGTGGCTTGTGAGGTATTTAATGACAGCTGGCTTGATGCGAGCAACTCCTCCCTGGCTGTGGTTTCCTCTCCCCGTAATCACAGAAAGATAGGGCTTACCACCATTCTGCTTAAATTCTGTTAAAATGGGAATTGGAACAGTTAAAATCATTTCCTACATTTTCAACAAAATCTACTCAAAAGCACAGGAAATTAATTTGATGGTGTTTTAGATTTAAAAGCTAAGGGAAATTTGTTTTTAAAGCACATAAACCTCAGAGCAATCTATCCATTTAAAGACTTAAGGACTAGGTCTAGCAGCACATGCTTGATAGCACAAGCTGAGAGACAAAGGATGTGGACTTGGAGGCAGCCAGGGTTACAAGGTGAGTCTGAAGTCTGTACATAGTAAAACACCGTACCAGGAAAGAAAAATATTAATAAGGCTCAAGTTAGGAGAGCAATTTCCATTCTCTACAAGTCTTTCTGAATAATATGGCAGTAATATTAATTACATCTAAAATTTATTAAACACATGGACTCAGACACTGCTTTTTTTGTGAGTTAGAATCTCCGTAACAACCTTATTAATAAATTTTTTTAAAGCCAACCAAACCAGCTTTTGTATGAATCACAGTTCTGCCAGAAATTAACTGTGTGTGACCATGGGCAAATGAGTTGGTTTCTTGTGCCTGTCTTTTCTTCACACTAGGAAAGGTACATAATAACAGCCACTGCTTTGTATATTATCTTCCAGGAGCTATTAGCAAATCTAATTCTAACACAGACCTACTCTCAAAGATAATCCATCATTAAAATTCTTCCCAGGAGAGATTAAAAACAAAAATACTGAATGACACTAATCTCCCCTGCTCCTCCTTCTCTCCCTCTCCTTCCTTTTATGGTTTTTCAAGACAGGGTTTCTCTTTAGAGTCCTGGCTGTCCTGGAACTCAACTCTGTAGACCAAGCTGGCCTCAAACTCAGAGATCCATCTGCCTCTGCCTCTTGAGTGCTGGGATTAAAGGCATGTGCCACCACTGTCCACACTGATCTCTTTAAAGAATGAAGTTGTGCCGGGCGTTGGTGGCGCACGTCTTTAATCCCAGCACTCAGGAGGCAGAAATAAATAAATAAATAAATAAATAAAAATAAAAAATGCAGTTGTAGCCAGGCGTTGGTGGCCCATGCCTTTAAACCCAGCACTCAGGAGGCAGAGGCAGGCGGATCTCTGTGAGTTTGAGACCAGCCTGGTCTACAAGAGATAGTTCCAGGACAGCCTCCAAAGCCAGAGAAACCCTGTCTCGAAACCCCACCCCCCAAAAAAGAATGCAGTTGTTACTTCATATTTGATCATGGGAAGGTAAATATATAAATTCTGAAATCAATAACATAAAAGCTTTAATAGAATAACAACAACAAACCAAAAAGTCCTATTAATAATAAAGTAGTTAATGTAACAGATTTATTTTCATTCATAAATGGCCTAAGTTTTTATCTTTAGTATAATATAAAACATTAAACATTCCACACTCTGTTCATTAAGTTACCTTAATCAAATACAACCAAAATATTGTTTTTCAAGTCTCACTATATACAGGGCAATACTTGGCTTGTACATTTATTTATTTGCTTACTGTTTGCTTACTGATTTGAGACAGGGACTCACTATATTGCCCTGGCTGGCATGGAAATCACTATGGATACCAGGCTGTCTTGTAACTTACAGTGATCTATCTGCATGCCCAACTAGCTTGGAATTTTAAAAGGATATATTGTTAGGACAGGAAGGTTATGAGTATGAGATTAGCCTGGGCTACCTACATGAAAGGGCCTGTTTTGAAACCAGCTGAAAGCTTCCGTTTCACTTTTCTTGAACCCATTTTCATGCACCTTCATGGCAGGTCAGTCAGCCATCAACTCTCTAATAGTTCACTGCTTCCCTGAAACTGCTCTTCAGTTGATTCCCACACCTCCAAACACAGAGCAGTTCAAAGGAGAGCTGTCTTATTAATATACATATTTACTGTCTAAAATTACAGACTGCTCCTGATATTTATTGCCTTTGAAACAACTGCCTAACTTAGTCTGAAACACATCCTAGATTGCTAACAATTTTAAACTACAAATGCTCAAATGATTGCCCAAAAGGACTCATCTAAAAAATTTTAACAAGCCAGGCAGTGTTGCACACCTTTAATCCCCCTATCTGGGAGGCAGAAGCAAGCAGATCTCTTTGAGTTTGAGGCCAGTCGGATCTACCTAGTGAGGTCCAGGCCACCCAGGGCTACAGAGAGAGACTCTATCTCAAGAACGGAAAAAATAAACAACAACAACAAAAAAAAAACTCTTGATTTTCATCTTCTTAATCAAAGTTCCCCAATTACCTGAAATGTGTTTATGGAGTGATTTATTTTTTTTAAATTGGGGTTGTGTAACAATAAATCTTAACTCCAACCACCCAAGCCCTGCCGCCACGTGGGCATTTTCTGCCAGACTGCCTGAGTTCCACCCACCGCCACGTTAAGGTCCCAAGTAACACAGAGAGACTTATATTAGGTACAAATGCTGCTTGGGCAATGACTAGGATTTCTCATCTGCTAGCTCAGTCTTAATTATCATAAATTTATATATTTTATAAGACTTATCTTATCCAGGACACCTCCTGCTGGTTCCCTCTCTTGCTGTCAGATCACATGGCAACTCCAGAGCAAAGATCAGGAGGAAGAGCAAGAGAAAAGGGATCACTTCCTGTTTGTCCCTACTTATACATGAGTCTGCCTGCTATTTCACTTCCTGCCTGTATCACAAGACTTCTTTTTACTACATTTCCCAGAATCCTCCTAGACTCCTAGTCCCGCCTAACTTGCTGCCTCATTGGCCAAACAGTACTTTATTCAACAACCATTAAGATAAACATATACAGAAAGACATTCCTCATCATCTCCTCTTTTCTGTCTAAATAAAAAGAAGGGTAACTTATCTTTTATAATAACTGAAGAAAACTATAACCATAACTATCTGTCTTCAACTCCCATCAAAGACCACAGAAGGATAATATATAAACTCTAGAACTGACAGAGACATCTCGTTGCCTGGACAGTCACCCAAAGTTCCTCTGTAACATTGGGGCATCCATCTTCAGCCTATAGGCCACAGTGTGTCTGGCACACTTCTCCCTTCAATACTGCCTTGTTTTATAAGTTTAACAGTCACTTTGTTGTGGATCCTGTATGTCCAGTTTATATAGCAACAAACAGTCCAAGCAAGAGCAGTTTCTTGCACAAATGGCTAATCTTGCCATGTTGAAAGCAAACTCCATAACGAGTTTCTTCAATGCCCATCTCCTTTCTGACGTAATTGGTGTGCCAAGAGCCATTGTGTCTCACTGTTAAGAAAAACTCTAAGCCATTTAAATGCCATATATTCTGTATGTCTTTGAAAGATTTGAAGAATATCTATCCATCTCAAATACATCTCTGTATATCTAGAAAACTTAACTAACCTAACTGTAGGTTGTGACTATTATAGGTGACTATATAATCGGTATTTAATTATGCATATCACAAAATTGACCTTAAATTTGTATCAATAAATGAAAATCCATATCAATGTAAATCTCTTTTAAAGGAACCAATAGAGTCTCTGCTTGTCTCTAGCAAACAGAGCCCAATCGAGAAAATGCTGCTACCAAGAAGTTGTGAACTTACTAATAAGACAGTACTGAAGGGTTCCTGCTGAAATGGATTAGTGTGACAGACACACTGTGGCCTATAGGCTGAAGATGGATGCCCCAACATTACAGAGGAACTTTGGATGACTATCCAAGCAATGAGATGTCTCTGTCAGTTCTAGAGTTTATATATTATCCTTCTGTGGTCTTTGATGGGAGTTGAAGACAGATAGTTATGGTTATAGTTTTCTTCAGTTATTATAAAAGATAAGTTACCCTTCTTTTTATTTAGACAGAAAAGAGGAGATGACGGGGGAGGCTCTTCTGTGTATATGATTGTCTTACTGGTTGATAAAGTACTGTTGGCCAATAGGAAAACAAGATAGGTGGGACTAGGAGTCTAGGAGAATTCTGGGAGAGGTAGGAGAAAGCGCAGAGTCACCATGTGAGCCAGGGAAGATAGGATGCTTCCGCTGGTGTCCAATAAGTTTTATAAAATATATAGATTTATGATAATTAAGACTGAGCTAGCATATAAGAAATCCTAGTCAACTGGCTAAGCAGCATTTGTAACTAATATAAGTCTCTGTGTGTTATTTGGGACCCTAACACGGTGGGCGGAACTCGGGTGGTCTGGCAGAAAGTGCCCATGTGGATTTGGGTGGCTTCAGCAGAAAGACTTACTGTTACAGGGTTGAAATAACGTTTCAATCAGTGGATTTACTTGGGGTTTTTTGTTTGTTTGTTTGTTTGTTTGTTTGGGGGTGGGGGGGTACCATGTAGCTTTGAAGCCTGTCCTGGAACTCGCTCTGTAGACCAGGCTGGCCTCAAACTCACAGAGATCTGCCTGCCTCTGCCTCCTGAGTGCTTCAATTAAAGTCATAGAATACCATCACCCACCCACCCCTTTTTTTAAAATATAGGGTCTTACTCTGTAGCCCTGGCAGGCCTTGAACTCATGATGATTCTCCTATCTCACCCTACTAAGTGCTGAGATTACAGGATTACATGTCCCAGTTGATATGTCTGCTTGTTTCACAGGGTCTTACTATATAGCTCTGGCTGACTTGAAACTCGCTCTGTAGACCAGGTATCCTCCAACTCAGAGACCCACCTGCCTTTGCCTTCTGAGTGCTGGAATTAAAGGTGTGCCAGTCTGATGTATGTTTTAGGTAACTATAAATCCAAATGTTTTCCTTCCCTTTATTTATCCTAGATTTCCAGTCTTTATTTTGCTGATTGTAATTTTAACTTGTTCCTCTGTCCCCTGTGAATCTCTATTACTAGTCACATTCAAACTCTTGACTTTCCGGTTATCTGAGGGCAGAAATACTTCACAGGTGGGTGTGTACTTCACTCACAGGGCACACAGGACCCATGCACCTCTATTCATCCACAGATTTGAAAGTGCTTTTATATGATGACTAAAACTAACTCAAGGATTCCCCCCAGATTCCTCTCCTCACCCCAAATACTTTCTCTTCAACAATCCTGCCATCTGGTGGTAAGTGGTGGACACACTACCACAAGCATACACAAGATGGCTTTGGCTTCAGAAAATTACTTATTTGCACCTTGGATGTGAACAAATACTGCCCAGGCAAGTTACTGAATTCTCTTGTTTTCTAAATCTTTATTGATATAAAATTCACATAACATAATACTCTCTATTTAAAAAGTTTACAGTTCGGCTGAGCCTGGTGATGAAAGCCTTAGTTGCAGCTACTTGGGAGGCTGAGGCAGTATACTCTCAAGTACAAAGTCAACCTGGGCTACACCAGCCTGGGCAACTTAGGGACATGCCTGTCTCAAAACAAAATAAAACAACCCTTATTATTCAGTAGTGTTTGTTGTTTGGGTTTTTTTTTTTTAACATTATCTACAATGCTACAGCTATACAATCAACACTGTTGCTTCCAACACTCCCTCCTCTCAAAAAGAAACCATGTCCCTGACAGCAGTTACTTTATATTACCAGTTCCAGCCCAAGCAACCACTCATCTACTTTCTGCCTCTAAGGGCATTTCATATAAATGTCACTTTTTTGTTCTGGCCTTCTTTTACATAGCATTTTGTTTTGTTTTGTTTTTGTTTTTCGAGACAGGGTTTCTCTATATTATTTTGGAGGCTGTCCTGGAACTCACTTGGTAGACCAGGCTGACCTCGAACTCAGAGATCCGCCTGCTTCTGCATCCCGAGTGCTGGGATTAAAGGTGTGTGCCACCACTGCCCGACCTTACACGATCATCCATGTATGAGAACTTCATCTTCATGGACAAGTAAAACTCCATTAAATAGATCTACTACATTCCGTTTACACACACGCACACATACACACGCACTCACGCACAAAGGAGGAATGGAAGGACAGATGGGAGGGAGGGAGGAAGGAGGGAGGGAAGAAGGGAGGGAGGGAGGGGAGAGAAGGAAGGAAGGAAGGAGCAAACATGGTTGAACCTAGAAGGTATTACACTAAGTGAAATTAGCCAGACTGAAAGAAAAGACTACATTATGTCACTTACATGTGTAATCTGAAAGGTTATAGAAAGACTCATAGAAAGACTATAGAGTTATTCAAGGCAGAACAAGAGAGGGAATCAAAAACAGCATGATGTGAATCAAAAGGCATAAATTTTCAACTGTAGGAATGAGTTCTGAGATCTAAAGTACAGCATGGCAGCTATCAATACTGCTACACAGTATAAGTGTAAGTCACCCCTACTGTAGAGTCTGCTTTGCTCTTGAAAATAACTCCTCACCCATTCACTGTCTTAGTCACTTTTCTACTGCTGTGCAGAGACACAGTAACCATGGCAACTCATAGAAGCAAGTTTATTGGGAGCCTACATTTCCAGGGGGTTACAGCCTATGACCATCATGACAGGGGGCACAGACATGCTGCTGAGCAGTAGCTAAGGGCTTACATCATTATCCAACAGTATGAGGCAGAGGCTAACTGGAAATATTCTGGGCTTTGGAAACCTCAAAGTTCATCCCCACAGATACACCTCCTACAGTAAGGCTATACCTCCTAATCCTTCCCACACAGTCCCACCAGTTGGAGACTCAAATATATGAGCCTACAGGAGGCCATTCTCATCCAAACCATCACATCCATACCTCTGTAAATAACCCCAATAAACTCACTGATTCACCAAGTTAGCCTTCAGTGGTGTCATTAGCTTTTCTGTCACGGATTCTCTATCTGGGTTGAGCACTTGCTTCTATCTCCTAGTGTCACACAACACAATCTCCTGACACCAAGATTCAAGTTTTTAAAAGTGCTAGGGTCCTGGACTGGAGAAATGGTTCAGCAGCTACAAGTACTCACTGCTCTTACAAAGGACCCAGGTTCAGCATAACACACACACACACACACAGGCTCACACCCGTCCATAACTCTAACTCAAGGGGATCCAATGTCCTCTTCTGACCAGGCAAACAAATAGTGCACAGATATTCATGCAAGCGAAAAATTCATATACATAAAATAAATTTTAAAAATTTAAGTACTGGAGTAGGAAGATCTATAAAACAACTTCAGCTAATAAATACAGAATTTTAAAAGTTATAACTTGACAGGTATGGTGACACGTGCCTTTAATCCTAGCACTTGGGAGGCAGAGGCAGACAGGCCTCTGAGTTTGCAGACAGCATGTTCAAGAGAGAGAGTTCCAGACAACAGGGCTAAACAGAGAAATGTTTCTCTGTGAAAAAACAAAACAAGCAAACAAACAAAAAATTTTAACTCCATCATACAATCACCAATGTAGTATTTGGCCAAGGGCCATCAACAGAAGCTAAAACCATTAGATAAAATATTCTGAAAACAGTGGGTTAAGAGTCACAGAGTATCAACCACAGAAGATTAATAATTAGCTCAATAGGTAAAGGTATATTTTCATCCACAGAGATATCTGATAGAAGTCTTCACTTAACTAGGCATTCAATAACCTCTTTAATATTAGGACAAACTAGCCATAGATCAGGGAATGTGTCCTGATCTATTATTCTCCAAGAACAACTGAAACATTACCAATGTAACCAACATAGTTTTTAAAGATATCTTACAATGTAACATAGGGCAGCCTCTCCAGTCACCCATCTAGTATATTAAAAAATTAAATTCAACCTGAATTGTTTAAAGAAAAGGAAATAATTATACACATTTGAAATGTAGGGCATAAGCTTGGAGCCCACATAAATGTCAATGGCATTGAAGAAAAAAAAAGAAAAAGATAAAATTATTTCATACTATAGGGAAGTATTTAGGATAACCAACTAAGACACATTATACCTGACTAGATCCCAGAGAGAAAGAGGAAAGGTACAACTATGTAGAACAGTATGCACAAAAGGTAGAAAAACTAGAGTATGACCTGTGTGTTAGACAATATTACTAGTGATGTTCACTGTCTTAAAAATAGAGTGTAATGGCTAGACAGGAGAATGAATGTGTCCTCAAGAGATACAGCTGCTGAGGGATTTAGAGTTAAATCACCACAACATCTACAACTTATTTTCATGGTTCAGAAAAAAAGATACTTTTCAGGGGCTGTGGAGACAGCTGTTTTAAAGTACTGGTACAGAAGGGTGCACACCTTTTAACCCTAGCATTCCACTCAGAGGCAGAGGCAGGTGGATCTCTGTGAGTTCAAGGACAGCGTGGTCTATATAGAGAGTCCTGGACAGGGAGGGCTAGACAGAGAAACCCTGTCTGGAAAGAAAGTTTGGGGCTGGAGAGATGGATGATGACTCAGCAGTTAAGAGCACTGGGTGCTTTTCCAGAGGACCTGGGTTCAATTCCCAGCACCCACGTCAGGTCACAACTGTCTGTAATTCCAGTGCAGGCAAAACATAAATGCACAAAAAATAAAAATAAAATACAGTTTCGGTCACACAAACACAAAAGACCTGAATTCAGCACCCACATAAAAGCTCAAAGAGTGGCACCTGAGTGTAATGTCAACACTGGTAAGACAGGGACAGAGGGTCCCTGGGTTTGCTGCCTACTCAGTCAGTCAAATCAACAAGGTTCCAGTTGAATAAGAGACCCCAACTCAAAAAATAAAGTAGAGAAAACAGAAAAGGAATTGTATATACTGAACAGAGGTGTGTGCATATACAGCGAAGATGCTTTTAATGGGCAGGAAAGATACAGAATAAATTTTAAGATGCTGATTTCCATTAGAAAAGAAAGGAAGAGACAGATTGGGGAGAAGTATAATAGGAAGCATTTTAAAAATGAGAAACAGTAAAATGTCTACACTTTTGTTACTGGAGTCATTGGTCCATGGGCATTTTTTATATTCTGTAACCTCTTCAATATAGATGCAATGCTTCAATCTGACATATCAATACTACTTCATCAAAAGTCATAAAGTATATTGCATTGATAAATGTATATATAAAGAATGACAATGCAGGGAATCTTTATAATTCAAAACTTCTCCAGTAATGACAAACAGATAACTTCCAGTATTAGTGTCTGAGATAACTAAAACAGACTGAACTTTCTATGGAATACTACCAATTGATGATGAAAAACAAGCAAGACATTATACTAACATGACACTTCAATGTATTTGAAATGCATGACACTGAATGAAGTCTGGAAAAGATCTCAAACTGAAGGTCCTGGAAAGATGTTAGGAAATTGCAGGTGTGACCTTTCATACTGACCTGTGTGACTAGATACCAGCAGAAAGGAAGGAGCAGTGACACACTACAGGCATTGAGAAAGTCTGCCTTTGAAGCAGTTCTGCAAAAATCCTATCACCTTACTTACTTTTGTATCTGAGCAAACATCCACTGCAGACAATATTAAAAGCAAGTCCCATTTATGTCACAGAAGACTCCCACATTATACTGTACATCATTCTTTAACTGATGTAACAAAGGGATATAAATAAATCCGAGAAGGAAATCTTAATGTCACACCCTCAGTCTGCACAGGCAGATTCTCTGATTTTGTCAAAGTCTATCAATACCAAGGTCATTAGCACATTGCTACCTTCTGTTTTCCGCTGTAAAACTGCTGTCAGATGCTCTATCGCTTCATCCACATGCAGCCCATGGAGGTCTAGGACATTCTGAGGCAACAGAGAGGCATTGACTTTCTCGAAGATCTCCACAGCAGCAAGGTGGTTGGCTTCTTTCATCTTCTGCTCATGAAGACTGCCCTTTAATCAGAACATACCACCAACAACCACTTTTAATAATTACCACTTAGTCCAGTGGTTCTCAACCTTCCTAATACTATGACCCTTTTATAGAGTTCCTCATGTTGTGGTGACCCCAATCATAAAATTATTTCTTTGCTACTTCCTAACTGTAATTTTGCTACTGTTATGAATCATAATGTAAATATCTGATACCCATGTTCAATTTGAGAACCATAGGTTGGGAACTTCTGACTCAGACAATCAAGAAGCAAAAGTGCCCTAAATAAAAACTGGAACACTGAATCTAACATCTTGATGTAACAAGCTAAAACACAAGGATGAATCAAACTTTGGAAAAACTCAGTAACTAAATAATATGGTTCTTAAACTACTCAATCATAGTTTGTAAAGTAAAAATAAAAAAATTCTTAATCAAAAAACATAAAAGGAAACAACAGTTAGCTCAAGAAAGAACCAATTGGTTTAATGCTTGATTAATGATGTGTATTCTTTGATAATCCTGGGCCTCAGCTTGATGATCGACCCCCTCAAGGTCTGTTGTTAGGCCTCAAAGGGCTGTACGAGTTTTGACACCTTCTGCTCAGTATCAAAGGAGTAAGCACATGGAACCACAAAAGTGAAAAGGGTATTTATTCCTTACATTACCATGCAAAGTGAGCCTAGCAAGAAATTTTATTCTCTTGAAAAATATTAGTATCTTCTTCCTCTTTGTGAACATAAAAGTGATGCTTGGAGGCTAGGGGGATGGCTCCATGGTTAAGAACAATTGCTGTGCAAGCTTCAAGATCTGAGGTCAACATGCACTAACACAGTCCTATACATATACCAAATATATACACAAAACATACCGCGCACGCACGCACGCACACACACACACACACACACACACACACACACACACACACAAATAAATAAATATAAGATAGATACCTTATTAAAAACCCAAACACTATAGACCCATGTGATTCCAGTCTAAAACAAACTTTTCTGCTTTCTTTCCTCCAAGAAACCTCTATCTGTTCAGACATGCTACTAAATAACACAACACGATGCTCAGACCACCGCAAGACCATTTGATCTCAAGGAGAGAACAAACCACAATTCCCCAGGCCCGGTTTTACACAGCCATACTCCCAGCAACTTGGAAAACTAAGGCACAAGAATCACAAGTTCAAGGCCAGCCTGGGTAATTTTATGAGACTCAGTCTCAAAATAAAAGATAATGGAAAAGAAGAAAATAAAAAGCAAAATAAAGAGGGCTAGGAACGCAGCTCAGCAGCCAGAGCACTTGTCCTAGCATATGTGAAAGCAAGTCACACTGATGAATGAGGAACAACTGGGACTCATGAAGCTCCATGTACAAAAGCAATGATTAAACTGAGCAAAGCAGACAGAATCCTCAAAATCACAGGGCTCTTCTTTCATGTTAGGATACTTTATCCGTCACTTACATAATCTCTAAATTCTTCCCCCAACAATTGTTAAGCCAAAACTTAATGTAAGTATCAGACTACTTGAATTGGTAAACTGTGACCAGTTTCCCACTTTACCTGCTGGGCATAAAAGGTGGCCACATTCTTCTTCCCCATGCGGTAGGCTTCCTTGGCCTTGCTGTAGCACTCCATTCTCTTCTGCTGGTGCAGGAAAGCCTCTGCCCTGTAATCATCATACTCAGGGTACTCAAAATCCTGGAAAGACGAGTCACCTGAGATATCGTCATTCTCTCTTGGTTTCTTTGCCTAGAAGAGCACAATACGTGATACACAAATATAGGTTGAAAAATTAATGTCTTATCGCCAGAAAATGCATATACAAACCAGGCTGTGAGCCAGGCATGTTGGTACATGCCTATAATCCTAGTACTTAGCTGGGAAGCAAAAGCAGGAAGATCAGACAATCAGATGTCTTGAGGGTGGTATGGTCATAAACAGGCAGGATGATCAGGACAGCCTTGGCTACACAGTAATTGGAGGCCAGAGAGATGAGTTTGATCAAAGGAAAAACCAGCCAGGCATGGTGATGCACACCATTAATCCTAGCATTCAGGAGGCAGAGAGTGTCAAACCTCTCAGTTCAAGACCAATACAATCCAGCCTGGATAGCCAGGACGACACAAAGAGACACTGGAGAGGAGAGAGGAGAGAGAGAGGAGAGAGGTTAGAGGAGAGAGAGAGAGAGAGAGAGAGAGAGAGAGAGAGAGAGAGAGAGAGAGAGAGAGAAAGTTCTCCAAGGGAACAACTAGACTTATCTTTTATCCTCAAAAGAGATTTCCTCAGTGTCTACATTGTAAGTCAAGTATGTACTGCCATTAGCTTTTTCATGTCAGTAACATTACCCCTCCTTTAACCAACTTTTAGGACACCGAAATCATTAAAATATAATCAGGTCATATATCAAGACAAAAGACAGAAGATAGTCAGAGAGCAGTATGAAAACATTCAACACAGATCCAAACTGTGGTTCTTGGTTAAGCCTATTCAAAAATTTCTTGGATAGTGTTGCACTCCTATTCTCCCAGCACCCAAGGCTGGCCTCGAACTCACAGAGATCTTCCCGCCTCTGCTTCCTGTGTGCTGGGATTAAAGGCGTGCACCACCACCTAGAATCTTAGCTTTATCTTAAGAGATGTATGGTTTCAATTCGTTTCTTTGAAAGCTTAAAAATCAGGCGGGCGTTGGTGGTGCACGCCTTTAATTCCAGCACTCAGGAGGCAGAGGCAGGCGGATCTCTGTGAGTTCTAGGTCAGCCTGGTCTCTAGAGTAAGTGCCAGGATAGGCTCCAAAACTACACAGAGAAACCCTGTCGAAAAACCAAAAAAAAAGTATTATAAGTCATACATGTCCTACTATGTAACTTAATAAACATTTCACATGTATTCAAAATGATAATTTTCAATACTTTTAAAAAACATTCTTTTATTGATATAATTTGATTGAGGCTACTGACTAAAATTTAACAAGCTGGAAATTACCATTTTGCTTAGAAATATTACCAAGAATTATATTTATAATGTACTATATAAAACAATCTTCAATGAGAGATAGGTTTAAAATTTTATAGTCTATCATTTAATTTATAATAATACTATAAAAATACTAAGTATTATGTGATACATATCTCTAATTGATAAAAAATAAGGGAAGTGAGATATGCAAAAACTGACCTAATACATAAATAACAGTTGGTTATATAATTTCCTGACTACCATTTTGCTGAGACCCTGGTACTGTAGAGGCTTGCAAGAACAGACTTCACCATATTCTTCAAAAAATTTAATTATGAGTCAGGTATGGTGGCACACACCTTTAATCCCAGCACTTGGGGGACAGAGGCAGTCAGATCTCTGAGTTTGAAGCCAGCCTGGTGGTCTACATAGAGAGTTCCAGGCTAGCCAGGGCTACACAGAGAAACCCTGTCTCAAACAAAATGGGCTATAGATATAGCTCAATGGTTAAGAGTACTTGCTGTTCTTACAGAGGACCTGGGGTTTGGTTCCTAGCACCCACCCACATTGAGGCTCATAATTTGTTGTAACTGGAGTTCTAAGGGATCTGATACCTTTTTCTGGCCTCCATGGGCCCTGCATACACATGGTGCACATATATACATGGATGCAGGTAGAATACCCAAACACATAAAATAAAAAAGCAACAACAAAAAATTCTAATGCTGATACGAGATTAATATGTAAAAATCCATATTTCTATGGATTTATTTTTTAATTCTTTAATTACTACTCATATTTACATATCAATCCCCCATT